ATAGAAACAGTTCCTTCCCTTTAGAGGCATCTTGCAAAATAGGCCTGGCAATCTACTTCTTAAAGCTCACTGCCACTGAAATCCCTATGGTGTGCACTTCTACTCTGAAACCCATGGAGTTACTATGCGTCAGAATTGACCCAATAGTAACTGTTTTTATTTGTTTGTTTGCTTGTTTTGGTATGTTGAGATGGGTTGGCACAATAGCTGCACTAATTGATTCAAACATACCAATGATTGTGAGGATGACATAGGACTGGGCAGCATTTCATTTTGTTGTAGATAAGGTCACCATGAGTCAGAGTCCATGGCAGCTAACAGCAACAAGTATTCCACAGTGTGAACATACCACAGTTTATTTAACCATTTACTTGTTGAAGGGCATCTGGGTTAGTTCTAGTTTTTAGCTATTATGAATAAAGCTGCTGTAAACATCAGTGTACAAGTTCTTGTGTGAACATAATAATCATTTCTCTGGGAGTGTGATTTCTCAGGAGTGTGATTACTGGATTCTATGCAGGACGTATATTTAGTTTTTTAAGAAACAGCCAAACAGTTTTCCAGAGTGGCTGTACCATTTTACATTCTCAGCAGCAATGTAGTTGAACCCAGCCATCTGTAGAATTAAATTAAATTTCTGGAGAGCTCTCTCTGGTCACTGGTTAGGTCCTTACCTTTACATTAGTCCTTATTGAGCAGATATGGGAAATAATGGTTCACAGTAACCATCACTCCCATGGTAAAGTTGGAGTGGAGGTGGAAAGATTAAGCTCTCAGAAAAGTAGGGCTGGGCAGAAAACTCCACTGGAATCTACTACAGCAGTTGTTTCCAAATCTGTACATACACCAGAATCCTGCAGGGAGTTAATAATAGAGTCGTGGGTTGTGTACAGACCTACTAAATAAAACAGAACTCACTGCCATCCAGTTGATTTCAACTCATAGCAACCCCCTATTGGGTTTCCCAGTCAGTAAATCTTTATGAATTGATTACCCCATCTTCCTTCCTCAGAGCAGCTAGTGGGTTTGACAAATGCCTTCAGCACTGTGCCAGCAGAGCTCCTTTTGATCTTCTAAATAAGAATCTGTATTTTAAACATAACAAGGGCTCAAGACAGTTTTACTTAGCAATAACTGTGTCAATTGGGGGGAGCTCTGGTAGCATAGTGCCTAAGGCACTGGACTGCTAACCAGAAGGTTGGTGGTTCAAATCCATCAGCCACTCCTCGGAAGGAAGGTTGGGCAATCTACTGCCATAGTGATAACACCTCAGAAACCCAAGGAGGGGTTGCTATGAGTCAGGGCCGACTCGACAACAACAACAACAACGTCAGTTGGGAACACTATACTGTAAGGTCTATGATATTTCCAAAATTAAAAGTTTTAGAAGCATATGAGGTACTACAGAACAAATTAAAAATTTCCTACCATCTTGTATTTTTTAGATGGGAGCTCTGGTGGCACAGTCCCTAAGACATCTGACTGCTAACCAGAAGGCAGGTGATTCAAACCCACCAGCCACTCCTCAGAAGGAAGGTTGGGCAATCTACGTCTATAGTGATACCGCCTCAGAAACCCAAGGAGAAGTCACTATCAGTCAGGTTCGACTCTAAGGTAGTGTGTTTAGGAGCTCTGGTAGCGTAGTGCCTAAGGCATTTGACTGCTAACCAGAAGGTTGGCGGTTCAAACTCACTAGCCACTCCTGGTAAGGAAGCTTGGGTGATCTACTTCCATAGTGAAACTGCCTTGGAAATCTAATAAGGAAGAGACATTATGAGTCACTGAGGGCAGTGCATTTTCTTATCTTTTTTCCTTTATCTCTTTTCTTGGCCCTATGGTTTATATTTCTGTCCCCTGACACTTAAGGAAACATGGTGGCACAGTGGTTAAGCACTCAGTTGCTAAGTGAACCTTTGGTGGTTTGGACCTACCAGTCAGGCCACTCCCTGGGACAAAGATGAGGCAATCTATTTCCATAAAGATTTACAGCTTTGGAAACCATTTTTGTCAGTTCTACTCTGTCCCATAAGGTCACTGTGAGTCAAAATTGACTAGAAGGCAACAAGTTTGGGTTTCTGGTTTCTGTAATACTTATAATTTTTTTATTTTCTCACTCCTCCATCTATTTTTTCACTCATCTCTATTTTTTTTTTAATGTTCCCTCTGGTAAGTTACCTGTTTTCCCTATTCTTACCCAGCCTTGAAATTGTAACTTTCTTTCCAGCTTCTGTTCCTCCTCATTGCAGTATTTGTTCTTCATCATCTATGATTCATTTTTTACCTCATAACAACTTGTATTTATCCTATTTTCTGGACATACCTGAGTTTCTCTCACTGAACATTCTTACTTTTTTAACAGCAGGAGTAGAAAACAAGCAGTAACTCAATGGCAACAGATTTGATTTTGATTTTGATTTTGATGCTACTCACAGATAAACCTAAACCTAATTGATAGTTAAAATTATCCTAGTTGAGAAATATCCAAATGCAAGAATATTATAAAATAATGTAATTAGTTATTATCTAGTTAGCTTCAGCAGAGGTATCAAAGAAGAAATAATTATGGAGTTAGAAAAGCACATAGACAAGGCATAAAGAATACTACAGTCAGAAAGAAGAACAAGAGTATCATGAAAGATGGTATTGACTATGATGAAACAGTCAACAAACACATCTTTTAGATGAGGGCACGTAATAAGGAAAATAAGGAGAATAATTGCTACTATTTACTGGGCACTTAACATATACTAGATTACCTCAATTAATCCTAATGATATTGCAATGAGACAGCAATTCTATGACAGATTTTGTGTAAGCAAACCTCAAAACCTGAACCATTTGGCATAACTGAACTGGTTAACCCAGGTCCAGATTAGACTCATTTTACTTTAGACTTCACCTTTTTTTTTTCCTTTAACCTTATTTTTGCTTTTTACCAGAAGTTAGACTGTTGTAAAACATTACCTGACCTTAGAAAATAAGAGTGGGGGTCAGGAATGTAGTTAAGATTACATTGGATTGTTACAGGAATACTACTGTCCACTCCCTTCCTTTGCACAACTGGTTCTCAGAAGGAATGCTTACTCCAGGCTCCCTGTAAAACTAATTTTGTGAAATGCTTATCTTGCTGGCCCAAGATGTCTGCAGATTAGAAAAACAAGTTATTTTGAAATATTTACAGTTTTTCAACTGAAACTTCTGGGGTCTCATGATAACTTTGTGATTGATTACAGAAAGCTTTGTAAATATCAGCCAATCAGAAAAACTGTCTGTTAGTTCCTGTTTCTGTTTGTAAGCTCCTCTCTCCCTTCAATACATTGGAGCATACTGTAGTACCTGTGTATACTGCAAATTTCAAACTGTTCCATTCTTTAATATATGCTTTTACAGAGTACTAGATCTTTCATTCTGCCAGTTTAGAAAGAATAAGAAACTTTTTATTTTATTTTATAGCTAGAATACAGCTGTGCTGGAGCTCTGGTGGCATAGTGCCTAAGGCATTTGACTGCTAACCAGAAGGCTAGCAGTTCAAAGCCACCACCCACTCCTCGGAAGAAAGACTGGGCAATCTACTTCCGTAGTGATACAGCCTCAGAAACCCAAGGAGGGGTTGCTATGAATCAGACCCGATTCGATGGCAGGTAAGTTTGGTTTTTTTAGGGGGGCTTCAAGTTCAAACAGTCCCACTTAAGAGCTCTGTGAAAATCCAAAGGATGGTCAGTTTGGCCTTTGTCTCCAGATTCTAGAAAACAGCCCTTGGGATTTCTCAAGGTATCTTTGTTTTTCTAAAACAGCCAGGTAACACAACTGTGCAAATGAGTTGGCAACCCCCAATTCATCTCTTGACAACAAACTTCAGGAAGGGAGGAGGGCATGATGTAGTCAACCATTCATACTCACTGACACATGCTTATGCATTGAGGTCTCAATGACTATTATAAGGAACTCTCATACACTTCCTTTTGGAGCTTCCTAGATTGTCAAGAACTTCCATGCATGGGAGAGACTATGATACGTTCCTGAAGAAAATGGAAGTCTTGCATCTGGACCTCTCCTAAACCTTGCCTGATGTGTATCTTTGCTTGTACCCTTTGCGATTATAATAAATGAATTAACTCTAAGTACAAAGTAATAGTCTTTGTGACTTTTTTGAGCTGTTACAGAAAATTAACGTACCTCCAAGGGGCAATGAGTTAGCAAGGGCTGCTACAACAGAGTTCTAACTTGCGTAGACCCAGCTCTGAGTGGTTGTAGTCAAAAACAAGCTGCACAGGCAGTGGAAGAATGATAGAGTCCTTCTTGCTCATGACCTAACCCCAGGGGGATAGAGACAAACAGAGAGAAAGAGGAACCAGCTTGTCTAAAGTACAGGGAGTTGTGCAGACTCCTCAACCTATAACTGGTACCAGATGACCTGACCCTAGGTGACCAAGAATGTTTTGACCTGGCTCAGGGTGGCTGGGGATGTACTTTGACCTAACTGGGTGGCTAGATTGAGAGAGGAAGTGGCAAACACATAGCTAAACACAAGATCATGGAGATGTGAGATGAAATTTGGATCCATTTTCAAGTGGAAACTAGATTCATGATGGTTCTTACCATGCAATTAGTGATAAAGGTGAGGTTTGCCCATCTTACCCATTTAGTAGTACAGTTGGCACAGATGGGTATAGGCCTAATTATAAAGGGTCATCGATGCTGTACCAAATCATTAAAAAAAAAAAATCCTTATTAATAAGGTATTTTATGGTTTGCTGATATTTCTAGTTCATTACTCTTTTTCTTAAATGTACCATGTTGCCTCAAATAGGTAAAATGAAATACTGAAGAAGAGTATACATCTTATTTAAAAATGAATTAATTGACAATTCTAAAAGAAAAAAAGGGCTTAGTGTCAAGATTTACTTACATTGATAGTATAATATTCTAAAACAACTGTGATCAGACATTCTACCTTTTCATAGTCACTCTAAGAGATTAATTATGAATCATACACTCACCACACTGAAATCAAGGTTATCTTCAATCCATTTTTGCCCATCTCGGAATTCATCATGAAGCCCCATGATATAAAGGGTATCCAAAGCATCTACTATAGTGGCACCCATTTGTGAACTTCCTATGTTTGCAAGGAAAAAAAAAAAACATGTCATTAAAAAGATGACCTTTATAGAGAGTTCATTTTTATTTTATAAATATATATATACACAAACATGTATGATCAAAATAATGTAAGTACCAAAAAGAGTACCTGACATAGTCCATTTTTTCACTGTAATAGGTAATATACATCCTTTAACATGTTTTCCTAAAGTTGGCATATGTATGGATAACTATAGAAAGTTAAAGGAACATAAAAGGGATGTAAACTGTTGTTTGATGGTTTCTGTTGAAAAATTAATGAGTCTTTCAAGACACAAAAGTGCCATGGAACAGAAAATTCACCTTGATTAAGAAAGTATAATAGTAACTATCATGTTAATGTAGACAGTAATCCACGTGGATGAAATGCATTCTAAAAAGACCAAATTAGTAATTCCACTGCTGGGGTAGTAGAGGACCCATCTGTTACTGCTAAACCAAAAGCTAACAAAATACATCAAGTTGATTCTGACTCATAGTGATCCTATAGTGACTCTATAGGACAGAGTAGAACTAACTGCCACACGGGGTTTCCAAGGCTGCAAATCTTAAGGAAACAGACTGCCTCATCTTTCTCCCACACAACAGCAGGTGGGTTTAAACCACCAACCTTTTGCTTAGTGATTAAATAAATGGTTTAATCACTACACCACTGTAAGACATCCACTATGTTATGCCTTGCTCCACATCCTCTTCTGAATCCAGCTTGCATTTCTGGAAGTTCTCTGTCAATATTCTGCTGCAACCACTTTTGAATTATCTTCAGTAAGATTTCACTCACATGTGACATCAATGATACTGTTTGATAATTTCCATATTCTGTGGGATCACCTTCTTAGGAATGGGTACAAATATGGATCTCTTCCAGTCAGCTGGCCAAGTAGCTGTCTTCCAAATCTTATGGCACAGCCCAGTGAGTGCCTCCAGTGGGACATCTGTTCGTTGACACATCTCAATGGGTATTCCATCACTTCCTGGAAACTAGCTTTTCACCAATTTCTTCAGTGCAGCTTCGACTTCTTCCTTTAACAGCATTGGTTCTTGATCACATGCCACCTCCTGAAATGGATGATCATCTACCAATTCTTTTTGGTATAGTGACTAAGTATTCCATCCATCTTCTTTTGATGTTTCCTGCATTATTCGACATATTGCCCATGGAATTTTTCAATATTACAATTCAAGGCTTAAATTTTTTCCTCAGTTCTTTCAGGTTGAGAAATGCCAAACGTGTTCTTCCCTTTTGGTTTTCTATCACTTGGTCTTTGCACATTTCATTATAATAATTGACTTTGCTTTCTCAAGCTGCTCTTCGAAATCTTTTGTTCAGCTCTTTTATCTTTCTATTCTTCCACTTGCTTTAGCTACTCTCTGTTCTAGGACAAGTTTCAGAGTCTCTTCTGGCATCCATTTTGGTCTTTCTTTTCTTCCTTTCCTGCCTTTTTAATGACCTTCTTCTGCTTTCTTAATAGATGATGTTCTTGATGTCATCCCACAATTCTTCTGGTTTTCAGTCACTGGTGTTCAATGCATCAAATCTATTATTTAGATGGTCTCTAAATTCAGGAGGAATATAATCACGGTCATATTTTGGCTCTTGTGGACTTGTCTTAATTGTCTTTAGCTTCAACTTGAACTTGCATACGAACAGTTGATGGTCTGTTCTACAATCAGCTCCTGGCCTTGCTGTGGCTGAAGATACAGCTTTCTCCATTGCCTGTGCCACAGATATAGTCAATCTGATTCCTGTGTGCTCCATCTGGCAAAGTCCATGTGTATAGCCATCAATTGTGTTGTTGAAGAAAGGGTATTTGTGATGAATAAGTCGTTGATCTTACAAAATTCTATCATACGATCTCCAGTGTTATTTCTATCACCAAGGCCACATTTTCCAACTACCAGTGATACTTTTTTGTTCCCAACTTTTGCATTCCAATCACCAGTGATAATTAACATGCTCAGTCAATGTCAGGATGCAGAAGTTGGTCAAAATCTTCAATTTCCTCATCTTTGGCTTCATTGGTTGGTGCGTAAATTTGAGTAACAGTAGTATTAACTGGTCTTCTTTGTAGGTGTATGGATATTATCTTATCACTGACAGCATTGTACTTCAATATATACCTTGATACATTCATTGTGATGATGAATGCCATGTCATTCCTCTTCAATTTGTTATTCCCAGCATAGTAGATCATATGATTGTCTGATTCAAAATGGCCAAAAACAGTTCATTTCAGCTCACTAATGTGTAGGATATTGTTCTTTATGTGTTCCATTTCATTTTTTACATCTTCCAATTTTCCTAGATTCATAATTTGTACATTCCATATTCCAATTATTAATGGATGTTTGCAGCTATTTTTTCTCACCTTGATATGTGCCACATCAGTAAATGAAGGTCCTGAGAGCTTTACTTTTTCCACATCATTAAGGTCGGCTGTACTTTAAGGAGGCAGGTATTCCCCAGTCCTATTTTGAGTGCCTTCCAATCTGACGGGCTCATCTTCCAGCACTGTATTGGACAATGTTTCAAGACGATTCATAAAGTTTTCCAATAATATATCAGACAGTGTTGCAATGCTATGTGTTAGGTTTTCACCGGCCCATTCTTCTTCTTTCAAATCTGTCTTAGTCTAGAAGCTCCGCTGAAGCCTTTGCACCATGGGTGACCCTGCTTGCATGTGAAACACCAGTGGCATAGCCTCCAGCATCACAGCAACACGCAAGCCACCACCGTTAAGACAACTGACAAAAAAGTTTGTCTCTTAGCTGTTCCAAACCATTTTGCTCAGTTTCCTACCACTCCCATCTGCCAGCGCCTGACTCACTGACACTCACTGGCATCACCCCCAGGTGCTCCCCCTCCAACATTAAGTATGTGAATTTTCACTTGGGTAGGGGAAAATGGGTAGAAGAGGGAGAAATGCCCTTTATAGGCTGAGGAAATTTCCTTCTCAGACTAGTTTGCTGAGAGTTTTTATCGTGGATGGATATTTGATATTGTTAAATGATTTCTGCATCTACTAGATGACCATATGATTTTTCTTTTATTTCCTTAGTATCTTTAATTACAATGATTGATTTTCATATTTGAAGCGAATCATACACTCATGAGATAAATTCCACTTGGTCATGATGTATTATTCTTTTTATATACTGCTAAGTTGGAGTTACTAAGATTATGTTTGAGTCCCATGGTTAACTCACTCAGCTGACAGAAAGGTTGAAGATTCAAGTCCACACCGAGGTACCTTGAAAGAAAGGTGTGATGATCTACTTCTGAAAAATCAGCCATTCCAAACCCTATGGAGCACGGTTCTACTCTGACACACAAGGAGTTGTTATGAGTTGGAACCGACATGATGGCAAATTGAACAGGAAAGATTTGGCTATGAAATTTTTTGTCTATGTTCAAAAGGGTTAACAGTTTCTTTTTCTTATGTTATCTTTGTCTGTTTTTGGATTAGGGTTTTATAGTGTTGCCAAGAAGACATAACAATCCTAAATATACAAACACTTAACAAGAATACTTCAAAATACATGAAGAAAAAAACTATTAAAACTAAAAGGAGCAAGAGACAAATTCAAAATTAGAGTTGGGGACTTCAGTACTCCTTACTCAGTGACTGATAGAAACATTAAATTAAAAAATCAGCAAGAATAGTGAAAGCCTAAACCTCAGTAATCAATTTTTGATAAAACATTCTACCCAGTATCAGCAGAATACACACAAGCATAAATGGAACATTGACCAAAACAAGCTATATTATGTTTAATAAAGCAAATCTTAAACAATTTTAAAGGATTGAAGTACGTTCTTTAAATAAGGTACACTCTTCATATGAAGAACATTGACTGACTATAAGAGAATCAAACTATAAAGGAATCAATAACAGAAAGATAAAGGGAAAATCTTGAAACAAATTAAGGAACAAACACAAAGGAAATTAGACAATTATTGAATTGAACAAAAAGGAAAACACAATATATCAAAATCTTTGACATGCAGCTAAAACAACACTTAGTGGGAAATTTATATCACTAAATGTTTACACTGGAAAAGAAAGTCTCGTATCGATAACCTGAGCCACCACTTCAAGAAACTAGAAAGGGTAAAACAAAATCAATCCAATTCATGCAGAAGGAAAAAAATAATAAAGAGCAAAAAATTTTTAAATTGGAAATATAAAGATAATAGATAAAAGATCAATTAAATCAAAAGCTGCTTCTCTGAAAAAAGTCAACAAAGTTGATAAACTTGTAGCATGGCAAAGAAAAAAAGATAAAATATAAATAAATTATCATTATGAGGAATGAGAGGTGATTGTCACCTCAGATGCCAAAATCTTTGATGGTATGGTCTAACTCCTCAAAAATTACAAACTATCAAAACTCGTCCAACATGAAATGAACTGAATAGTCGTTACTATTAGAGAAATTGCATTTGTAATTTAAAAAGCTCTTGGAAAAATAAAAATCTCCAGATGCAGATAGTTTCACTACACTATATACTAAGCACTGAAGGGGGGAAAAATTATGCCAAATTATAACAAACATTTAAAGAAAAAAAAGCCAATTGTATGCAATATCATCCAAAAACCTGAAGCGCAACTTCATTTTATAAAGTTCCCATTAGCCTAATACCAAAGCAGACAAAGAGTATCACTACAGAACAATGCAGATGTAAAAATCCTTAACAAAATATTAGCAAAAAGAATCCAACAGTATGTAAAAAGAACAAAATGTCACAACCAAGTAAGTTCTATTCCAGGAATGAAAAGTTGGTTCAACATTCAAAATGCAATCAAAATTAAATCACATTATTACTCTAAAGAAGAAAAACCATATGATCATATATAAATTGATGCAGAAAAAGTATTTGACACAATTCAACATCCATTCACATTGAAGGAAAAAAAAAAAAACTCAGAACAAAGTAAGAGAAAGAAGGGAATTTTTTCAACCTTATTTTTTTAA